GAAAAAGAAAAGCTGCTTTTCCCTTGCCACGAGGTTTCGTCTTTCCAACGCCCCCTGCCCTTCCGCCAACGGCAGGAGGCTCAAGTGTTAAAAAACGGGGAAGTGAAAGGAAATTGCAAAAGACCGTCATAAAAGGCTTGACTCTAGGGTCATCCCTTGGAACCCGCAGTTGACTAAGAACCGCAAGACCTTCATTGAGGTATATTCGAGCACTACGCTGGGTTTGCCACCTACCTTGGACTAAAATTTTGTCCAGGTTTTGGTGTTTCTGGAACCAAAAAGTGGCGCCCCCCCGCCGGAGCGAGTAGGGGCGGAACGCAAACTCCTGCAACTTTAGTTGCTCGAGGCATTGGTTAAAAAGTGCCCTTCACTTTGGTGGTGTGGGTGTCAACCTAGTACTAGGGGTAGCAGCAACTTTCCAGGCTTTTAGCGCACGGACTACAGGCTCAAAACCAAGCACCACGCTCTCGGCAGCTCCGTGCCGTTTCCCGCCTTTTGTAAGGCCTAAACTAATCAAGGCTTGCGTGGCGGACTTGCCACATTCAATGTGGGATGATACAATTCCAAGAATCTCCCCAGTCCTCAACATAGAGTAGAAACCGATGAGGAGTGACACTCCGAAAGAGTACCACCCATTGAAAAAGGCCCACGTGAACGATATGCTCAGGGAGGGGTGGAGCCCGTGATGGCAGTTCATTGGTCTGCCACGTCTTCAGGAGCCTCCAGGCTGCCGGCATTCGGGTGCGCAAGCTAGGCTGAACATCCTGCAGTCCAGCAAGAGTGTCACAGGCCAGGCCTCGCCCTTGGCCTGTGCTCCACAGGTGCTCCAAGTATTCACAGACGAGGGGGTCAACCTTGTCACGATTGCTGGGCAGTGTGAGTCCTTCAGTCCGTAAGAAGACAAGGAATTGGTCAACAGCTTTGTCATAGCGGCGGCGCGTAGCCGGTTGCACGGTCAACTGACGCAAAGTACCCAATCTTTGACGGATCCTAGCTCTCTCTTCCTGTGTTCCACCTTCAAGTACGCGCTTAGGCATGCTTGAGGCGCTGCTTCACGCGACTCCCCCACCGACTAGGCTTGTCAGCAGGATTGGAGTCGGTATGCACGTACCCCCACAACACCTGTGAACTGGAACACAAAAGAAGAGAGCTGATCCGAGCCATAGAGCTCCGGAGTTTCCTGGAGCTGGTACGCCCCCGTGTGAGGGCATGCAAGCACACCAATGAGTCCGTCAAGTGCAACATACGACAGCCACTATGTCCTTTCTGCTCGATCCTCCACCGCACAGTGTTCAGGATGGCGCGTAGCTCCAGGGAGTTAATGTGCTCTTTGCCTCTAGTCCACCTCCAACCAGAGACCACCTTCCACCGCCAAAGACGGGAGGGAATGGAAGCACGCAACCGATGGAAACGAACAAGCTGTGTACTAGGAGTGATGAGCAAGATGTCCTCCCCCTTGAGGCTGATGAGATTACCCAACTTGAAAGCAAGGTCGTAGTCATGGCCTGCAACATCTTCCAACTTACGCAGCGGCAGACGCACGAGCCGTCCCTGCACCGACTCCGCGGCACCCGGGGAACACAAGTCCAGGATCTCCTGCGGTGACTGCTTGGGACTAATGCCTAATGGCCACAACAGCTGATTGAGCAACCATGCTACCACGGGCACGCACCATGTGTTACCCAAGAGCGTGAGCCGGGTATCCGTGTATTTCGCCTGCTTACGCTCCGTCTTGCCAGCGCAAGGTACGGTGTACTGGTATGGGAAACCAAGGATCACTTCCCGTTCACTGACACTGGGGACACGCAGTTCCCCCTTCCTATTGACCACGGAGTGTTTGCACATATATTGGTAAGGCGGGAAGCGATGTTCATCAGCTTGCCACCGGCTGAGCTCAACTGCATCACACTGACCAATACCTGCGGGCTTCCGCCCCGGCCTAACCGATGGACGCGAGGTGGTGAAAGTAGGGAACGCCTGAGATGTGTCCACCTTGCTCCAACCAGCCTCCAGCAACTTGTCCAAAGCCTGATTGCCGACAAGCTCCCAGGAGCCCAGCTGTGCTCCCGACTTGTACGTGGCGCCCTCACCACCCGGCAAGTCCCACGAGGTCCAGTACAAGCGCGGCCTGTTGCACCAACACATGTAACCGGCGTCAATGTGAGTGGGTTCGGACCCAAAGTCCGCGCTCATAACAAGCCGGTCCTGTTCATCCATTGAACTGACGGATTCCATCAAACAGTGCACTGGTGCCCAAGGAAAAAGGCCTTCCACCAACGAACGGATCCGAGAAACATGAACAAACAGAGACGACCTCGCATCACGTAGAGCTCCCCGTCGGTCGGAATTGAGTCCTGAGACTCCTTGACATGGTGGTCCAGCTCCAATCACCATCAGACTGCACTGGGAGAACTTCAAGCTCCAACCCTGCACAATCTCCTCTGTGATGGCCCCCACGTCCTCGTAATGCACGACACCCGGGTAATGCGCCTCAACGACCCGACGGGCTGAGGGATCCTTTTCCACCGAGATGTAGCCGCAGACGGCCACTGACTGGAGGTCGATAGCAACCCTCAGCGCGCCTATCCCATCAAAAAGACCTATCACCAACACCTGGTGCTCGGGCAACGGGTGTGGGACCTGTCCACGTAGTCCTCCTTCTGCGACCATACCGCCAGCGGGCGTGAGACCGTCCGAACGACAAATGCCTCCCCCTGAGGTCGAGGCATCGCTACATGTCACCATGGGATGCATGTCGAGGCGGAAGTTCATGCGCACCAACGGGAGCATCCCGATGAACCGGAGGAGCTCCAGACGACAATCACCAGGCAGAGCCCGAGCTCCCGGTCCAGGAGCGTTGAAACTCTCAATGAAGGCCCATACTGCATTCAGGCAACTGAGCAAGGGCCGCCGGAACATGGAGAAGTAAACCAATCCACCGCAAACCACTTGCATCTGACGCTGGGTCACGACCTTCTGCCCGAGGAGGTTCACGGTGAGGCTGAAGTACTTTGAAAGCTTGGACTCCTTGGGGTACGCGACACCTAAAGATCCATCAACAGTAGCGCCCTGAAGCTCGCAACGTGACGAACGCTGCACTGCATGCCTTCTTCTCATTCCGGGGAACCTCCCACTTGGAGTATTCATTCCTAAGGGCCAAGATCCCTTCCGGTGAAGTGCCCTCCAGTTCAACCATGCCTGTGGCGGTCACTTTCTCGAGCAGGTCATAGTTGTCGATCCAGATAGACCCTCCACGCTGGGTTTGCAACTGTGAAAGGCCTGTCCTTTCTCAACTCAGAGGCTTCCAGAGCTCTCCGACCGAGGTCACCAACCGACCATCGCACCAAGTTCCGGTGCACGTTTTGAGCGAGACTCACCGAGTTCAGGAAACCCATGGGCAACACCTGGGAGGCCAAGTACACGACCTTTCCCTTCAGCTCAGGCGGTAGGCATTCATCCGGGACCATCTTGTTGAACGCCAAAAACTTGCACCAACATGGAGGTACCTGCATGGTATAAAAGAAACACTTCACATCTTCTGAACTCACGAGGAGGTTCTCGTCGGGTTGGAGGAAGAAAGGGCTCATCATGCCCCAGGAGGGCAGAGTGTCAACGTCTCCGCCCAGGGGTTGGCAGATGGCATTGAAAGGAGTTAAATTCATAATAAGACGACAAATCTCAACCCCTCCTGGTGTCCACTCTTCCTTGGAAACTCCAAACAGGCCGTTCAGGAGCGGACCGCTACCCGTATCGAACACCTGTTCCACCTCGAGGAGGCAGCAGACTCCCGCCTTCAGGAGTCCAGTGCACAGGCTAGGCCATGCACCGTCCTCTACCATTACCCGAGGTTTTGAGATCCGTCCCCAGGAGGTCTTAGGTTTCAGAAAAGAATCTAAACCCAACACATACTCCCGACAACCAAGAGTGCACACCTCTTCAAGGGGAACCTTGCCTATCTCCCTGGGAAGCGCGGGTGCAATGTTATCCCAAGTGATCCACCGAGCAACCTTGATCTCGTCCCCTTTGTAGTCGATGCCACGGATGCTGAAGAAATCCTGCCAGTCGATATCGTGTACCGGCAAGTCGAGTTCACAGAAACGTTCCACGTCGGTTCGAATCAACTCGAGACATGCCTTCTGCTTGCTGCTACATGACTTGTCAGAACTAATGACACCACCCCAAAGTGAATTCAACGAAGCACAAACACAATTGATCCAACAACCAACCTCAGGGTTCAACCCCGGCCAAATGGTCATCAAGGAATGGATGGAGGTAGGCAATGGGAAAATGGCGGAGTCCCCATTGCCCTGGGTCTTGCTGCGAAGTGGGGCAACCTCCATCAACTTCTCAAAAATCAAGAGGCCCAAAAACGAAATCGATCTCCCCTCAACCTCATGGCTAAAAGAAATTTTTTCAGATCCCGGACGGTCTTCTGCCGGGTCGGCTCGCTGTGGCTCTACGGCTTCAAAGCGCGGAGGCACAGGTGGAAAAACATTGAAATGCTCAGCACTCGACGTGAATGCCCTCTCATGAGAACTGGTCACCGGCTCCGCGGCAACAGGACTTGAAATCACTTGGGAAGGTGCTTCACAAACCGCTTCCGGCCTATTCAAAGCTGCCGGCTCCAGCATGCGTTCACCAACACTTGCTCCCTCTCCAGCACCTAATAGTTGGGGTTCAATGCTGGATGTCATACTCATAGACGCAACTGGCTCCCGTCCACAGGAGCCTACTTCGCTCCGACATCTTCCTTGGCTCGCCCTTTGTCCCCTTTCGACTGGCCCTTGTTCTTGCCTTTCTCTCTCTTGAAGTCGCCCGACTCCTTGCCCTTCTCCTGGCCTTTCCCTTTGCTCCTCCTCCCGTCTGGGAGGGTGCTGAGGTACTTGAGCTTGGACTCTGCGTGCGCATCCTTTTGCGCCGACGACAGCTCGACCTGGTCCGCCAGCACCTGTCCCTCCTGTGGCGCCAGCTCTAGGCGCTGGCTGACCGACCAATGGCTGCCCGCCATCGTTGTCTCTATAGATTTTATGCGCTGTGCAAGGATGTCTGCCGTCTTTGAAGGTGCGCCTTTCAGCAATGCATCCAGGGCTGCGGAGAGTGTGATCAACTCCCTCTGCATGGGGCCCGCGGCCCGACGCTGTAACTGTTGCCTGTAGTAGGCTAGAGCTATCGGTTGAAGAGCTCCGGGACGATCCTCCGTTCCAATTGCCTGGAGGAGGTTCAACCTCATCTTCATCAGAGCTTGTGCACAAAGGGCTCCGGGTGTAATGTCCCCAATGCGCTGGAGGCGGGTCTCCGGGTCGAAGAGGTTCAGCTCGGCACCCTCGTCCTCGCTGGTCGTACCCCCGCTCTTCTGGCTCTCTGTCGAGCTGTTGGATTTGTCTACCTTGCTCTTCTTCGACACCCTCCTGGCCTTCCTGGCGACCCTTTTCCGGATCTCTTCGCGGGGATCCAGGCCAGTGCCCCGAAACAGGGCACTGAGGGATTTCACCGCCGAGGAGCGTGGCCGTCTCCCGTTCATGCGACTGCTGCCTGAACCGGTTGAAGAACTCTTCTTTCTCGACTTGGACTTGTGGCGCGACTTTGCTTTCCGCTCCTTCTTTCCTGACTTGCCTGACTTGGCTGACCGACTCCTCTTTCGCTTCTTCCCTTTCTTCTCTTTCTTTTTCTTTCCCTTTTCTTTCTTCTTGTCGACGTCCTCCTTGGCCTTCTCCTCGCCCCGAGTGCGTCCTGCACCGCTTCCGCCTCCTCTCAAGAGGAGGTCTTCCCGAGCTCGAAGATCGGCAAGTTCGTCGTCGGCCGCCTCGACCTTCTCGAGGTTGTGAACCCAGCCTTCTTCGTGCACCTTCTCCTTCATGAGCCTCCCTCGAAGGACATGAGCCAGGTCGTCCGAAACTGCATCCCCGGCGCACTCCGGGGGGGCATCGATGGCACCTCAACTCCGTTCGGGGCTGCCCGCTGCACAACCTCAGGAGCCCCTCGCTTGTCGTGCCCGTGACGTTGACCAAGATGTGAACTCGACCGGAGTCTACCGTGATCCCCTTGATCAGTCCAGCAATCTTGCAACCGGCCGTGTAGTAGGATGCCTTCGTGAAGACCACCTTGACGCCCTGGCCAAACTCCTCCAACGGAATCTGATGAAGGTCGACTTCCTCGCCGCTGCTCCAAAGCTCCCGACTCACAGGAGCTCCGACCAATGCTCCATCTGCTGCCGGTCTCCTCAGGCCTCTCCTCAAAGCTCCCACACGCATCGCCACCCGTGGTTTGGCCTTGGGCTTCACCTTGGGCTTTGCTCGAGCTTTCACCTTCAGCGCCATTGCGTCTGGTACTGACGGGCGCTCCTCTCAATGCCTCTTTGACGATGTTTTGCCCCCTTGCTCCCACGAGGTCGCTTTGGCGGGGTCCTTGAACGATATCTTGAATGGCCCGACTGGTCCTGTCCTCCGCGATTGCCCTGTCGAGCAGGCGGTGGACCGTCTGGTTCTCTTGGTTGCCTTGGTGGAGGTGGAGGGGGTAAGACACGTGCAAAGTGCCCCTGCACTGAACCTTTTGGCTTTGGTGCCGGCCGGAGTCCGAGGTTGGGCTCTCGGTGGGACGCACCTGCTGGTATGGGTCCCTGACTGGCCTGAGGAGGGGGTGCTTCAGGTTCCGGGCCTTCGGGGGGCACGGTGGACTTAGCCTTCTCCTCTCTCTGCTCCTTCTTCCTTCTTCTACGGTCCTTGGTATGGGGTGTGCCGCTCTTGTGCTTGCGTCTCTTCCTTGTCTTTGGGGCTGCTGTCTCAACGGCGTCTTCCTTCTCGAGCTCTTTCTCGTTCTCGTCGTTGTCCTTCTTCTCGTCCACTTCAACCAAGGGCTCTTTCGGTCCCTCGCTTTCCCCTTCGAGCTTGACCTCCTTCTTCTCAGGAGCTTCTGCTGCTCCCGCAACCTCTCCTCCCACAGGAGTGTCCTTGCTCTCCCGCAATGTAAGGTCACTGGTCTCAAGCTCAGCTCGAAGGATGGGTCCTGCTTCTTCAGCAAGATCTGTCAACGCACCAGCTGCCGACCTCAGTGCTTCCAGCACCGGACCTTCTTGGGATCTCAGGAGATGTCCTCCCGTCAGCAGCTCACGGATGCGTCTTAGTGTCCGGCACGGATGGCAAATGGGCCCTCCAAACAAGCCGCAGCTGGTGCAGCTCATCCGTTTCAGCCAAACACTGCGGAACAATCACATGACAAGCATCTTAAACCCCGGGGCCGGAGATACATATACAGTATATATATTGTTCAACATACGGTGAGAGTCGGGAGTTTGTAGGAGGCGGGAAGGGAGCGGAATGCATAGGAACACACACCATTCTCAACTCTTTGGTGGCTAACCAGCCTCCCACTATCTCAAATAACCAGAAAAGCTGACCCGCATTCACACATGTCTCAAAATCTCTTCTATGCTGACATCCATCTTTGAGGGGATGGCCAAAGCTTTCAACACGAGACAAGACCGCCCTATGCCAACACCCTACCCGGCCCTACCCCCTCTCTCCCTCACTCTGTGTGTGTCATTTGGTTACGCCACCCCTCGAACACTCATGGAAGCGGATGGCCCCCCCTTGAGACAAACTCCTCGGCGCCGGTACACCGGGCGAGGAACCGGTCGTGTTCGGTTCCTCGGTCTCGTCCAAGGTGCGTTCGTCCTCTCGGGTGGGGTCCTTGATGATTTTCGGCAAGCGCGACGCCTCCCAATCACTTCGGGCACCGCTCTGCCTCGGGTGAACGCGACGTTCGAGGGAAGCGAGAAGGACTGTTCAAAGAAGGAGCGAAAACGGGGCGTATAATACGGCATGGATGCCCTGTTTGGTGGTACATTTGGGGGTATCCCCTCTCACCAGTACATGGCCTCCTCTATACCAATAGCACAAACCAATAGTCAAAGACCATTGGTTTTCGGCGCCTCATGTCATCCATGACCAGCGCGGCCCGCGTGGACACGTAGGTCAAGCTGGTGGCCGAAGCCCCCACAACTGAGGCCAGTGCGAACAAGATCCTGAGCAACATCGACGGTCAGGAGCCACATCCCAAAATGGGGCGATTCCAATTACCACGAAGTAGGGTTTCTGTAGGGTTGCAGTCTTTGAACACTTTGGAAACCACTAAAAATCACTGGATCCACCGGTATGTCGACGGATGTGCACGAACGCTGGAGACCGGTGTGGGCAACAGGGAAGCAACAGGAATAGGGACTCTGACTGATCATCCTACAAAGAAAGGGTTGGCTTGGAACATGTTGGAACACAAGTCTTGGTCTTGCCCTATCTTGGAATCTGTCATTCACAGTCACAACTTCGTGGATTCGATACACTGCATTTCTTAAGGATCAATCAAATCCTTGAAAGCCAGAAAAACATTGACATTGACGAGAATAGAGTCCACAAAGCCAATAGAAAGATAGCAAAACAGTTGCTTTCAGGCCTCTGACCAGCAGCATGGATGAATTACAAAAAGGAAGAATCTTGACTGAATGACTGACGCCAGGAAAAACATAATATATTATCCAGCCTATGTCCCTGTTGAGTGGATCTGCGACTTTGAGGACTATAAGTCGCCGTTCAAAGGAACATGTTCTGGACTTTGGCCACAGCATCAGAATGACATTGTCGCCAGCAAGTACCGTAGAAAATGATCCGCCGGCAGGCTCCGGGAAGAAACTACCAACCTTCTCATTGAAGATTCTCAAGGTCACACATGCAGCAGCTGTGATGGCTGTGAGCCCAACTCCGAAGGGGAAAAAGACCTTGCGCGCCTCGGCGGTCGCCAAACTGCCTTCTGCCGTGGAGGCGATTTTGGAGCTCTGGCCATAGTTAAACTTGGCCTTGGCTTTGTATCCTCGGTCAAGCGGGTGTGGCTTAAAATGGGCACCATCATGCACCATCAGATGTCACCGAATGGTAAACAGCAAACCAACGTCCCGTCCAACGTCCTACGGCGGCACAGCGGTGCCGAACGTTCCAAACGTGGTTCAGATTGCCAAACGAGGATCTCGCAGCTGCACTTTCCGAATAGCTGCAGTGTAGGAAGATGATGGTGGTGAGTGAGGGCGCCAGCACGAACAAGGACGGTGATGTCAAGAGCACCGTCGCCAAACCCGAGACAGCAGCAGCAGAGCCCGTGGCCAGAAAGGTCTTTAAAGACAGTAGAGGGGTTGACATCCGAAAGGCCTCTTGGTCCAGTTCAATAGACTCAATGGCAGCTCTTAGCTTCCTTGCGTCTCAAAATCTTTGGCTCTTAAAACCATACGCACAGGGCCCTTATCAAAGGATTGGACTAAGGCAATCCGATGTGCTACTGTCGGACAATAGTTGAAATTGCTGTTGTTCCTTGTCCCTGCCAATCATGGGCCTACTAGTCGAAACAAGTCAAAGCAGCAACAAAAGAACTTGATTGGCCTGGTTGAAACAAAACCTATACAGTAATTACCAAAAATTAGCCCTTCAAAAAAGTGTCCGATTCCCCATATTGCTTCGCTCGGCCAGCAACGGGAGAACTTCGGTCTTGGCGCGCTTCACCAATTCCGACTCAAACACGTCGACCTCGACGAGCTCGGACGACTCATGCGCCAGGGCAGATTGGCCGAGCGAAGGGCTTCTTCGTGGATCCGATCCTTAGGTTCTGTGGGATGGCAAGACGTGGAGCACTCGGGAAAATCTCAGCAGCTCTCCGGGGGGAACGTGAACAAATCAAACTTTCCAGATTCACACATATCCGTTGTGCTCTTAGAAGAGAGATATTGATGTGTATATAGTTTGATTCGCCGTCTCCCGCGTCTGATGCGCGCGACTGCAACCCAAGGATCCAAGCCTACTGGGAGGATCTCCGATGAAACATCGCAGGACGCTCAAAGCGAGGCACGCCGAAGCCAAACTTCCGAGCGGCCGGATGGGCGCAGAGGCGCAGCGCCTGTGACGCATGGCCACCCGCACTTGGAGCAAACATGCGCCGCGTCAGGACCGGTGCAGTTCACAAAAATGCTGGCTGAACTTGAGACAAAGATTTGGCGCAACAGGTTGAATATGGTTGAATGATCCCGTGATGATCCAGCTGGTTCACAAATCTTGTATAGAGTATAGATTTTCTAGGATTGGACTTTGGCATGACAAAATCCCAAAAGCAAAAGCATCGCAGTCTCCAATATGAGCGACACGGGTTGCTGCCTGACCTGACCAGTATCCTCAAGTACTCGTTGGACAATGCAAAAAGACTAATGCGACTACAGTAGTTTGTATAGCACAAGCATACACACATGCATAGATCACTACATATACACACAAAAATGATCAGACACAACACACACCTACACATATATATATATATGTATATATATATATTATGTTATATATGGTTACATAATTGTATTACAAGATCTTATAAGATCTTCAAAATGTTCTTTGATAGTCTTTACTTGTATACTAGGAGGCCTCACACCCATCGGCTGGTCGTCAGCTGCCGCAACCATTGCGCCGGATAGAGCGCCAGCCGCTTCTCCCCTGGAGTTGGTTTTGCGAGCCACTTCAAACAGGCTGGCCCGGTCATTGGGGCGCAAGCGCCTGATATCGGCCATCCTTTGTGGTCTGGGCTTGGGCATCCGGTATGGTCCGGTAGGGAGAAAAGCAATGAAAACCCCTGGAAGCTTTTTTGAGTTCAATGAAGTTGAAGAAACACAAGTGAAAACCCTGGAAGTTAGTGATTTGAATGACACCCCCCACTCAGGTCTGGGAGTGGAACGATCAATCCTCAGGTGCGTCTCGTGCGTCTCCCGACAGGAACATGCCATCCACATGTCACAACCACAGCCATTCCCATCCAGCCAGGTGGCCTGACCAAAATCTTTTGAGAGGCACATGGGGGCAAGTGTGTCAAAGTGATCCAGCAATAAAGATGTACCACCATCTCTTTAAACCTCTGACTCTTTCAAAACGGATCGCGATGGGTCAGCCGACCCGACCCGGGCTCTACCGGTTGCCCCGTTTGTTCGCCGACGCCTGGCTGCCCGGGCGGCATGAAGTACAGTGAACGATGGCTGGGCGGTGACTTTTGAGGGGGCAGTGTCTTGGAGCCTGGCCGTCGCCACGCGCCACGACCGCCAAGGACGTTCGCTTGGTGGTGTGTGTGTGGAACAAACAAACCCCTCAGAAGTAGAAGGTTCACTCAGTGACATCCAACTATAGTTTGGGGTTAAAGTATCCAAGTATCAATCATGAACCTCTCGGACTCAAGACTGACTCAGAATGACCAAATGAAATACCACATGAAGGGGTCGGTAGGTCCTCTTCACAACCTCCAGAGAGGTCCGGCTCGTGCTTTTTAACTTTTTCGATAAATATTTCCGGAGGGCCGTGCGGCAGGTGGCATGTGGCATAGACCCCAAGTGAAAGTCAATCTGCTGTTATTGTACAACAAACACTTGCCGTTTCCGGCTACTCTTCAGCTGGGCAGCCAGCCTCACGGGTCCCCTTTCACAGAAACAATGAAAGCCCCTTCCATCACGGATCATGTTTCCTCGCTTACATGAGGGCTATCGCCCTGGACGATGTCAAGGCATTGAACAGTGAACGAATTAATTGAGTGGAAAGGGCCGTGCATAGCTTTCCTCAAAGGGTTAGCAACTCTGCCCGGAAGTCAACAAACACACCCAAACAAGGCGTACCCAGGGCCCCCCAAGCACAGTCAGCATCTTTAGATCTGTCCAGCGAAAAGCGAAGCTAGGTGTTCCTTAAATAGGGGAATGCCAGATGAGGCAGTCAAGGGGGAAGAAAGAAACAAGACTGAAAAACTGATTGGTGGTTTCAACTTATATAATTGAACATTATTCGTCAGTGGATTCAATCATCCCAAGTACAGGTTGAACATAAAAATATCTGAAACCACCACCCAGAAAAGGGTTTCCATGAGGTTCATGGTCGTGAGACCATGCACCATGCCCCCACCACTTTGGGCGCCTTGGCCCACTTTGGGTGCTGGAAGCTCTGATGCGGGCCTCGGCAGGAATGTTGAAATGGATTTCATATGATTTCATCAGGCCGACTGTGATGTGAGGTGAGGTTCATCATGTCAATGGGTACATACTAGGGCGAGGTTTTTGAAGGGATGAGGCAGGATGAGGAGGGAGGAGGCAGGATGAGGATGATGAGGAGGTTTTCTCTCAATGGCTTCAACATCTTCAACTGAAACTTCCCCTTCGCTCCCCCACACATCTGCCGGAGCCACGCCAGCACCTGGCGCATTGGATTGTTCGGTCCAAGGGGTGCTCTGTGCGCCCCAAGGTCTCGGTGATGGCGCCGAGAAAGCGCTGACCATGTCTTGCAACCGAAATCGGATCCTTGGCCGACTTGGGTGGGTTGCCTTCAGCTACCAGTCGTTGTGGAACTTCCATCCTGTCCTTTCGGCCCCAAAAGCGGAGCGGAAGGACGGCCATCCAACGACGGCCAGGAGCGCTGTCCACTTCAATGTGCAACTTCGAGACCAGGCGTGCCAAGCACATGGCATCTTGTCGCCACTGCTCCTGGCGAAGGGCGGTCATGTTGGTGATCGGAGTGCGGCCCTTTCATTTCGAGTTGGAGGGTTGGTGGGTGGGGGGGCCCTTCAAATTTCACCCGCCCTACCCCCAACATTCAGAACATGAAATCGAAAGAGACATGTTCGATGCGACGGCAACACCGGTCTCAACCAGCAGCCTAATTAACAGCTCCACCGGTCTCTTGGTCAAACATCTGTGGCACCTCTTGCTCAGGATCTTGGGGAGGCTGTGCCTGGCTGTGGCGGCTCAGATTGGGCCGTTTCGTGTGTTCTCTGGGCGTTTCGTTGTCCTTTTCACTGGGCTCGAGTGGATCGAGTAGAGATTATGCCCGCAAAAGGGCTCCTCTAGCTACAACGACCTGACCCAATCGAGAAGGAACGTGCTTCTCCCCAGCACTGAATGAGTTATAATGAGTTGACAGTTACGATTTACATCCCACAAGGGAACTTTATATAGGACAAAGTTGCCAATTATAGGGGAGATCCGCTTCATAATTCCATTGAGATGACCTGGGTGAGGTAGGTTGAGATGCATAGCTCGATGTGATCCGAGTTTCTTCCAGAGGTGAGCTCTATCCACCACTTCGGCCGGGGCATTTCGAAAACGACAAATGACCAAACACCCCGTCCATGATGGAATATTTACCTCCACTTACCCACTTAGTGGGTTTGAGTCATGAGTTTTGGGGGTATGTGTCCGAAAAAGGTAGGTAGAGGAAGGAATCCATGGTTCGCCAGGTTTTATGAAATGAAACTTGAACAAAGGATGCAAATTTGGAGTGCAACCAAAATAGTATATTTAAAAAACAACAGATCCAGAGTAGGTGAGTAAGTAGATTGCACCAAAGGCTCAAATGATGTCCATACGCAAGCCCGGCTGTGCAAGGTGCAACTTCAAACGGCCCATATATACAGTATATATAATTGCTGGCTGGGCGCCACAATGCTGCCTTCAGAAAGATTAGGCTGATAGGCTACCCTTTTGGACAAAATATCATGTACCACCATAGGATGTCTCTATATATGGAGAGACCAGATGTTTATTGTTAGCTAACTTGTGTGACATCCTGGAAAAGAACAACACTTCACCGACTTCACTCTCTTGATTGAGATCTCCATCTCTTTAGGCCCACGCCGTGAGGCGCCTGGCTCAGTCCGCGCGACTGTCCGCGCGCGGGGTCCGCCTGGCTCAGTTGTGTGATCACTTTGGACCACTCCGGCGTGAAAGCCACGTCCACCTCGGCGCCACCGCGGCGGATGCAGCGCGGTGAAACAACCACCACCTATCCGAATGGGTCTTCGAAACCAAGTTAAAGGTACGCATTAAGCGCACATTGCACATGGACACGTCTGGCAGGGTGGGGTTGGGATGCCACCACCCAACACCTTCTCGGAACTTGGAACTTCCAGCCGCGAAAGAGACGCCTTCCGTCAGGAGCGTCTTCAGCAGCATGGGAGAGGCTCCGAAGTGACACCAATCACTGGAAGACTCCATTCACTGCGAATGTGTAGGCTTGCCATGGCTTGTCACGGCCTCCTTTCACTAAAACTTTCTGTGGACCGCGGGCCCCACTCCACCAGCACCCCTGGAATCCAACCCTGGGGCCCGAACAACCTTCAGTGCCTTAGAGCGATGGGCCGGGCCCAAAACAGGTCCGACATGATCAACAAAAGGACGCCAAGTCAGGCTAGTCCTCAATGTTCAAGGTTGGTTTTTGATGCTTTTTGGATTTTTTGGGTATCTTTTGAGCCTGTTTCAGGGTTCTTGTTGGGATGGTTTGGGACGGTGTTGGAGGTAAGTAAGTAGGATTGTTGTTGCAGTGCTTTTGGGCTGCTAAATGCAAACACGTCATGAATCATGTCCTAAGGATTTGCTGTTGATGACGATAATTCTTCAGCATGGGCTGCCATCATACACGATCCCTGGGAAGATATCCTTGCAACAGCTAAAACGTAACCTTCCAAAAGCTACATGAACAGCAACAAACATGAGAACAATGGAGCCGCAAAAGGACACCAATATCAACATGCATAATAGAAACTATAGTAAAACTGGGGGGGCAATTGGATCAGTCCAGGGAGATAAATACCGTCCGCACTCTACAAAATTCACATACCGTGTTTGCGCCTTGTCTATCTTGTCCTACAAGTTCGGAAGAAGATAGCAAAGCCCTAATTAATCTTAATTACAAGTAGGTACACACATCACCTCTGGCAAAGATTTGAATCACCTCCGTGCACCGCATTGCCGGTTTTGGCCAAGACTGGCCTGACAATTGATCTGCCAAAAGTGACCACCCGCCAGGCTTCGACACCCAACAAGGGCTCTTGCCAGGCTTCGACACCCATCACGTGCCACTGACCAAAAGTGAGGCCTGAGAACCCAGCGATGCCTGACATCCCGATCGCAGTCCATCTTCGGCAGACGTCGGCCCCCACACTCGGCAACTCTGAGCTTGGGGCAGTGTGGTGTAGCTTCCCAAGGCCATAGGGCAACTCACCATCCTTCCTTGAAAAACAAGGAAGGCGCATCAGTCGACCAACCCTCTGAGGTGCTTGTGGTCGCTGCATCTGTGGGGCAAAATTTCTGTGTAGCCGACTGAATACCGGTACAAACATGTATATATATATATAG